TGTATCTTGTAAAAACAAAATCGAAAAGGAAGAAAAAAATTGAGATTTGAAATACCGTACCAGATACCTTGAGCATAATTCAACTTATCTTCATCAAAATGTGTTGCCCTATCACTGTACACAAATTGATCATTTGAATGTATGTGATAAAGATTTACTACGTCTCCTACTGTACAAGTTCATTAATTTACGACTTTCCAACTGTACTTGTTGTATCTTGTAAAATTCGATGATGAGCTTTCGTCTTCGCTCTCCATGCTAAAACATATTAAAGCATTACAATGCATGTGCAGTTTATGGCAAGTACAGTCTTCTGTTTTCATGTCCAACATTGAAACATCTGAAAACATGTTGTCTTTACTCAGCACATTCGACAACATCACCACGAAATCTTGAATATTTACACGTGCCTTTCCAATTTTACATTCCACACGAAACCTCCATAGACTAGATAAGAAATCAATCTATGTGTCAGAAAGTATCATCAGTTCGAAACTAACTGTGTCTGATTTGAAACACTTCAGACAAGTGAAAGCGTTAATAAAGTATTTTCCAAATGTAGCAGATCTAGAAATGTCGTCTGACAATGACTATTTGATAAAAATGATCCGTATCAATCGAGATCAAAGTTATTACTAAATTCATATGAATTTTGTTATTCGCTGTCTACTGCAGCTTTCTTATCAGCAAATAATACCCGTTCTGAGGTGTATAACAATTCATCTTCGATAAGAATTGATGATGATTGAAGAGAGGGAATTGGCAAGTTAGTAGATTCTATGGATGACGTTGACAAACGATATTGAGGATCAACTGAGTTCTTACTAGATTGATCGACTTTTTTCTTATCGAAATGTTTTTTCTGCAGATAGTTTTTAACTTTTATGACATTTCTTTTTCATCGTTGTTTCTTTTGTAGATTACGCTGAAGAGTTTTGTCTCATTCCACTATTACTTTTAACAAATTAAATATAAATTATTTAGAATTTAAGACAATGAATGTTAGTTGCAAAATTATGATACTTTAATGGAAATGCTTTTTACAAACAATTGTTTTTATCGCTCGAAACAACACTTGTCACTATCAGTTCTTATCTATTTGAGAAATATTTGCTACCGGTTCTGTTGTATAAAGATTGATTGGATCGAGTTGTTGAATATTTGTGTGGTTCTGGAAAAGGAAAATCGAAAAATTAATATTCAACGTAGGATGATTTTCTTCATCAAACTAACTTTCACAGTCTTTCGAATAACTTCTTTTCTTTCTGTATCACATTTTGTACAGAATTCTACCACTTCTCTTCGAAATAAGCATGTAATCTAAAAAATTAATAATTACTTCAACAACCGTAATTAACAATCAATATTTATCGTGATATTGGCGTTGTAATTCATCTTCAACATTTTTTTCTCTTTTGCTAAGATTTGTCGTTGATAATCCAAGTGTGCGTATATTATTTAATCTGATATAAAACACAAGGATAAAAGCAAGATAGATAAGGACTTACTGTAAGATAGCGTCCTCCTTCACACTCTGTATACTTTCTTCAGACCGTTTTCCCCCTCTCTCTTCTGTATTCAGCTGTTATTGGGCCTGTCTTTTTGTCTGATGTAAATAACTCTCTCGTTTTTTCTGCTAGCGTGTTTTGAACTATAATTAAGGATTTGTTCAGTTCAGAGTAGCGGTGGTGGACCTCTCCGTGAACGTTCTAACACTTACCAAGCCATGTTTTATCTAATGATTTTGAATACATTCCCGCTGAAAATAGTTTACGATATGGATCATTTAATACATTCTACTCAGCTAATAGAATGAAGGTATTTGAAACAATTGTTCTGAACCTCATGTGTAACAACTGAAATACTATGTGGAGAACAAGAAACCCGACCGCACATATTAATACTTACTAGAAGCTAAGAGATTCTTATCAAAAATAAAGTTTAGATCTCCAATGTCTCTGAATTATAGTTCCTTTGATTTTTTAAATTATGACATTGGCGCTTGACTGATTCATTATGTCCGTGTCGTGGTGGCAATTGCTGTTCCGGCCAAAGGTCATCACATAGATGAATAGAAGCGGTATTTAATAATTATATTTTTAAGATACATCTTGATACGATTACATGGCTTGAAAAGGTGCGACTAATTCAAATTTACGGCAAAATATTTTCTAACTTATTGTATATCATTGGATAGAACGCATCGAGCTGGTTAAGAAAATGTATTTTTGAATTTTTGAGCGTTTTCATGGTAAGAACTTTAGAATACTTGAAGGACGTAAAAACCTGAAAAATCTTTCAAGTTCAAAAAGATTCAATATTTCGTTTCAAGGTTTTCTAGATTTGGGCTCTTAGTGCACTATCTATTACAAAGTAACGATAGCATGTTTTGAGCTCGCGGTTCCGTGGTTTTTTAGCAGACACTATCTACTATTTATGGTAACATCTACAAGGTTAAGGCACAATTAAATCTATCGTTACTGAGTTACAAGAATTTAAAGTTGGCAAACTTTCACCGTTGTCATGTTTGGCGGAACGAGTGACCTCAACAGAGTGTTTGGCTTCTAGTTTTTTCAAAAAGCACTTCCACAAGGAGTTATTGCAGGGTTAGTGGTTATTTTCTATGCTCTTTCGAATGAGACATGAATACAAATATAATCAAATTTACATCTGGGTAGCTATACCGGTTTCTAGCGAAGGCTCTGTTAAAGCCTGTGAAACGTATTGGATGGACGAAGAAACTTTTCAGTGCATTCGAGTACGTTAAATAATTTCGTTCATTTGAATGCATTAACTTCTGTTGCGTGTGGACGCAAAAGAATTTGCAAATGCGCAAAATTTTAAGACTCTGAAATACATTACAATACATACAGCTCCATTTCATTCACGTTGTGCTCTACCTTCCGGTTCTCAGGCGACCTGTATAATTTGTTGCAACGGTATACACACTATAGAATATATTATTACCGTAGACATTTCATTGATAATCAAATTAAACAATCGTACCAGGAGTACACCAGTGGTTTGTCTATCTCTACTGTACAATTTTCATATTGACTATAATATTCTTTGCGACGCAGTAACCAAAACACGAAGCTTTGTAACCCTCGAAAATACAACGAAAAGCGTGCGTCTACACTTCTTTTTGCATTGTTATTGACCAATTCTCAAGCAGTAATCATATTTTATTACAAAACGTGAAACGGAGAAGAAAAAACCATATGTCACTACTTAGTTCAATTTCTATTTTCAAAAATAATTTTGTGATAGACAGCTATTGTTGACGTTGACTTTATCGCAATGACGCACTTGGCTTATTAGACCTTGCAATTTTTCCATCAATTCACTTTCATCGAATATATCGCGAACAATGCTGCAACTGTTTAATGATTCTTGAGCGAATGATTCTCGTCGCTTGTACAATTCGCCATCTTTCACTGTACTCGTATCACCCGCTTTATACACATAGATATCAACGGGGGCTAATAGTGAACTCGAAATGTACTGTTGCAATTTAAGAACTTCTTCTTCGGCCAATGTTTCGGGTAGAATAAATGAGACTTTTTCAGCGTTTGTGTTAAGCGGTGTGTAATACATGCACCGAAGAAAATCGCTTTTGCTGTGAAATTGGCTAATAATCTTGCCAGCATCGGGTAAATCACTGAGTTTGTGTTCATACGTGCGCAATGGGTCAAGTAGAGCAATTCGAACAGCCATCTATACGTGGAAAAAATAATTTAAGACAATAGTTGATCAGAACGCATAGTTTTATGTGACTTTTTGAGTAATGAAAGATGATGGCAGTTTTTTCTTGTATTTTTTTCGATTACGAATTATGTTGGTCTTCGTAATTGGATGTGTGTGATTCCATTGACTTATAAAGTTTTAGTTTTCTTTGATCATTCATGCTTTTTCTTTATAGAAAAGAAACAGGTTGCTACGCACCAAAAAGTGAATTTTTAACCATAGATGGTCGCGTGTATTTCGTAACTATTGCTTTGTTCTGT